TTTTATCTTAAAAATTCATTTTAGTGATCAAATTAACTCTAATTGATTTGAAATTTTTATGGGAAGCTTCTATAACATTAAATTACATTGTGAAATAGTATTTATGTCATTTACATTTATAATTACTCCAAATTAATTTTCTCTTTATTTTTAGGGTTGGTGATTATTTGATTTGTTTTCATCTATATATCGTGGTTTCCCTATTGTTGCTTGTTGATTTTGAGTCTGGAGCGTATCAGTTTGATCGTTATCATTATAACCATTGTTACTTTTGATAATCAAGTATATTTTGTTGAATATGAACATCATTTGTAGAGATCTTATTTTTTTACTCAATTTTCTTGAACTTTGAAGATTCGTCGGCTCGTGTGTTCCAGAAGTTTAAGCAGCTGTATGATTATTATTATAATGATCCATGTTCTATAAATGAGCCTGTGATGTTGTTAATCATTCATCTTTAATTAAGCCTGACCTTATGGATGCGTACAAGATTATTTATATGAGATTAGGAATGAGCCTATTGCTGAGAGAGAGATATTTTATTATCTTTATTTTTTTGTTGCATAAAGATATTAGTCTGATGTTAATATTGAAGATTTTTTTCTCTAGATATACACATTTTTTCACTGGTTTCAAAATTATTACATGCTTTCTCTCAGGAAATTTAAGTTGAATGTGTTACTATAACACTTTCTTTCATGTTACTGTCAGATCTTCTTCTATGGTATTAATTAAACAAAGGAAGATTTACAGACATGCCACTCAATTCCTATGTATTTACGTATGTAACACCTAAACTGCAATTTCTACACACATACCACCTTTACTATGAATGACCTTAACCATGAATGAAAATGATGGGTGGTATAAATGTGTAAAACAAAATGATGGATAGTATTTTTTGATGTTTTATGAAAGAGTTGGGTGGTATGAATGTAAAAAACAAAATTCAGGTTTTAAATATGTAAATACAAAAGGAATTGTGTCGTATGTATGTAAATTTCCCATAAATAAAATGTACGATCCATGCAGATTTTTTTTAAGCTAGCCCCCTAGATTTTACTAATTTGTTTAGACTACTGCACATGAAAATGATGGATATAGAAATACATAAGAATTTAGTGCTGCGCATATAAGTTTCCCTATTTATTTCTAGCTGAAAATATGGTTGAAATGTGTGATGAAACTATATTTTTATTATTATTACTTTATTAATTTATATCATTTAACATTTATGATAGATGATGGTGGGGAAATCCAAGATGCATTGTCTACAATTGTTGGAAGACGAACTGTCCCTCAAGTCTTCATTAATGGAAAGCATTTGGGTGGCTCCGATGGTAAAATCAGCCCCCTTCTCATATTATTCTGATTAAGATTTTATTACTATAAATCATTATTTTTTTTTAATATAAATTTTATTTGATTTTTAATGTATTGCACACATCTCAAAGCAAATCTAATGCTGTTGTTTGGAATTATGGCAGACACAGTTGAAGCATATGAAAGTGGTAAGCTTGCAAATATTTTGGGTATCACCAGCAATATCAAAAATGATGATCTTTAAAAAGTAAATACTCATTTCCTTATCAAAATTAGATGCGTTTTATTGTTGTAACAATTTTACCTGCTTCTTTTTCTTATTTTTCAGAGTACTTATTGCACTTGTGAATGACCTTTATTATATCATTTTACGAAATTTTGAAGGAGTATTTGGAAAAAATATTACATCAAATCAAATGCATCAAGACTCAAATCACTGTCTGTCACGTGTACGATAATTTAATACACTAAGATGGGTCAGACTGTACATGTGACAGGCAGTGATTGAAGTCCTGATGCATTTTTGTATCAGAACTTCTGATGTAATATTTTCTCAGTATTTTGAGGTCTAGAAGGTTCTCAAGTAAAATATTATATGGGTGTTTGCATAAATACCACCCAACTCTTACGTATTTACATATTAACTATTAAATTTTATTTATTTATATTTATAACACTCAAATCTTCTGTATCATATTAAAGATATTATTATTTTAATTTTAAAGATATTAAAATTATGTGATATGTATGATTATTTTTCTTTTTTATCTTATGTTTTCCATGAAATAAATTGACATGCAGGACCTATTATTCAGTTATTAAAGGTAAATAATAGGATACTATAATCTTATGTTTTATTATATACAAGCAATATTATCCATGCATGAAAATAAACTCGCTCTTTAAAAGTTAAAACGGTCATATTTGGTCTTATTTTTTATTTGATGGAAGACTGCAGTGATATAAATATAAAATGTTAAATTATAATAGTTAAATTTAAGTATTAGGTATATAAATATGGGAAGATTTGCATGTATGACTTTATAAGTACGTGTTGAATGCCTATACTTCAAAATTTAAATGAATGCCCTTTACAAACGCAGGAAAGGGATATGAATGTAAAATGTAAATTTTACATGTTAGATGTATAAGTAGATAAGCTCTGAGTCAATGGTGGGACCATCGGTTATCTCCCAATCCTAAATTTTTAATAATTTTTTAGTATCATATAATATATTTAAAAAAAAAATCTTAGATTAAATACATAATAATAAATTTAACTATATTCGTAATTGAATAGTAAAATTTATAATAATTTTAAAAAAAAATAAGAGAAAAGTGTTTTAAGACTTGACATATTTGTCATTCCCTAATTTTTTATTTCATTCTCCTTAAATTCTAGTTTTATCACAGATTGGTTGGGGCATTTCTAAATACTAAAGTACATTATTACTATTTATATATGTATTTAAAATGGTACATTTACATGAGTACCATCCAATGCCTATATGTTTTATGGGGCATTTATATGCTATTTCAAAGTATCTCCTTGAGCCACTTTAATTTTTAAAATTTGTTGTCTTTGAGGCCACCTAATGGTCACCAGTCTCTAACTATATATAGTTTGATACAATCCATTAGAATTGCGCTTCCAACAAAACATTATTCATAGGAAAAATTATTTCATACGGACACCGCATGTAGAAATGCAATTGGTGTTTGAGTTTCACCACTGATCACAGCAAAAATGTATTTCGATAGGCCTCATTTTAACTATTTTTTTTAAAAAAATATTGATCAACGATGGAGATCGGACACTGCATATATTTCTGCATACGGTGTCTGTATGGAATAATTTTTCCATTCATAGGGCACGTGCAGCCCATTGAGAAAAAATCAAAGGGGATACAACATATATATCACTTGAAGCATTACTAATTATAAATATATCACCTTTCCATCAATTTTTCAAATTCTTCCTCAAACATCAAAAATCAAGATAAAATCTCAACCCATACCTTCCATCATGCATTGATAGTTCAAAAAATTATCATTAGTGCTAGCTTTATTAAAAGTAATATTTGAAGTGATATGAATGTAAAAATCAGGCTAAAAATTTAAAAAAAAAAATCTACAATACATTTTTAGTCTTTAAACAAAAAAAGAGCTTAAAATAATGCTATTTCAACTTTAGAAATAATAGTATATGGTTCATGGGTCAAACCAGCCTCTTGATTACCCTATTTGCTAGGCTTCAATCATGCAATTTATTCATGCAACAAAAAATCCTCAAAATATCCCAAATTAAACTAAACTTCAAACGCAACTTCTATTTTCAAAATATTATGTTTTTTTTTTTTTTTCCTACGAAGTCTCATCACTAACACTGCAGCGAATCAAAACAAGTTGCAACATTCGGCATTCAATGGTTTCAAGAGAACTCATATGTTATATAGCCAAATTTGAATAGAATAAACATTCGGGTTAATTACATACATAGCACCTGGAATATTGCAATTTACAAAATTTAGCATATTTTTTATCATATGTATGCCTTGATAAAAACAAAAAAAAATGGGTCGAGTTTCATCATGAATTTTGATATTTGAGTGACAATTTGAAAAATGGATGAAAAAGGGTGCTAGATTTGTAAATAACAATGTTTCGGGTGCTATGTATGTGCTAAACTTTGTAGCATCAAAAATATTTTAAGATGAGTGTAATATATATTATAGTCCCACACATTTGAAACTAATTGCTATAAAATTATGCTAACTGAACAGAGTTATCTCTTGATTTTTGTATAGGCCCCTAACATCACCTGAAGGAAAAGTTCACTAAATTGATAGAACAGCTGTTCGGTTGCATGAATAGTTAAATCTGCTCCCCAACAAAAAAATATTGCAGAATTTGGAATTGCAGCAGAAAACAATAGTATAGCAGAACATATTCTACAACTCAACTATGTAAATAAGCTCAGAGCTTTGAAAATATACGCTGTTATTTTGCAGAAACTGGAAGGTAGACGCCTTCTGCCGCCAACCAAACGTTGTCCGGTTTCTTTTCTCTGATGCCGCAAACCTTGAAGAGAAACAGAATATTGCTTAGAGATTATAAATCAAAAGGGTGGATTTGCACTCAAATTTCTTATATATTTGCATATCTAACATATTATATGTATGTTTACATCGGGTCAAAATATATGAGTTTATGAAAATGTCAAAATAATCCCCAACTCTTTAAAATTGGGGCTGAAATAGTCCTCTGTGGAGACTATTTCAGCCTATATTAGACATTTTATACAGATTTTGCAACTTAAATGATCCCCTGCAAAGAGTTTGGAGATTATTTTGATACTTCTCTAAAAAAAAATTTAATCCATTCTAAGTTAGTTTTAGTGACATTTTTTTACGTTATTTAAAAAATGGGATACATACAAACCATCCGAAACATTGATATTTACAAATCAACCACCCAAGTGATTTTTTTTGAGCTAGTGAACCTATGTTTTTACGCATGCCATGATCAAATTATTGAGAATTTGATAAAAATGAAAAATATGCGTTGAAGTTTTAACATGAATTTTGATATTCGAGTGAGAATTTGAAAAATGGATGAAAGTAAGTTGTTGATTTGTAAATAGCAAGTTTCAGGTAGTCTTTATGTAATTGACCCTTAAAAAATAGGAAGTTATAGAAGATAAATAAATATATAAGAATTATAAGATATGCATGTAAATCTCTCGGAACCAAATACATATATAGAAAAATATAGAAGACTAAAACACGGGAAAAAATTGGAATGAATTATTTACCTCTTGCTGCCCTCCAGCAATTCTGGTATACTTCTTGTCATGGCTGTGTAAATAGCCCCCAGTATCAACATGTTTAAGTCTTATTCTTTGGTCTTGTCTCCATGTCTTCCCATTCCCTTCAATCTCAATCCTGGAGTTCAATTCCATGACAGAAAATAAGTCACTTGGATTCAGAACTCAGCATGGATGAGGAGAAAATAATAATAAGGGGCATTTACATACATACCACTCAATTCCTATGTATTTACATATACACCTTCACTTTACTTTTTTTTACATTCAAACCACGCAAACATTTCATATCACATTTTAAAAAATAAATATTTTAACTTTTAAAAAATGAAATACACCTTTTATGCATAGGTAAGGTGGCATATATGTAAAGAGGGTTGCATGTATATATATATATATATATATATATATATATATATATGTACAAAAGTGAAGTTTAGGTGCTAGATATGTATATACATAAGAATTAAGTGGCATTTATGTAAATCTTCCTGAATATAAATGATACCCACCGCCAGTAATCTCCAGTATCTGATTGACCATCACCTCCAAAACAGCTTACCTACAATATTTTTTTATTTTTCCATGAGAACATATAAAGCTTGGATCAGCCTAAAAACTCAAAACAGGAACTTGGAAGGGGAAAAAAGTGTAAATTTTTATTTACTTCAGAGTATATAAATAGATTAGTATAGAATTTGGAATTAGTTGGTGTGGGGTTATGAGTAGCTAGAATTTAAACTTCTAATGAAAACTTTGAGAAGAAAATTCAGCAAGCAGGTTATAGGAACAATATAAAGCACACTAATCTTTTCTATAATTCTGATCCAGTTTAAAATGATGCATAATTCTTTGTCATTTGGAACTAACATTGATGAATTAATATAGCTTTTTGGTACCTATGTGATTTTTGGTGAACAAGAAGGCTATCCAAGCATTGGGCCTATCAACCAAGACAACGATACTTACAATGCATTAACCAATTCATTGGGTTAAGCTACTTTGGGTTAACCCACACATTTGGTTAAGCTGCTTGATCCACATTGGGTAACTCACATGAGATTCTACATTCAGGGTTACAACTTAAAACAAATAAGAAGACAAATTATAAGGCAATATAAGAAGCAAAAAAAATTTTAAAAAAGGGGGCATTTACATACATACCACAAGATTCTTATGTATTTACATGTGTCGCACCTAAACTTTCATATTTACATGCATAGCACTCAAATCTTTAATATCACATCAAAAATTGCACTAGTGCCACTTTTTAAGAGTGAAATACACCTTTTAATGCATGGTCTAAAGCGCCAAAATATTATGTATGTAAATATCAAAGTTTAGATGTGACATATGTAAAGACATAAGAATTGTGTGCTACATATGTAGCTTTGCCAAAAATAATCAGGTCTGAACTGTTACATGTTTCAAAGAGAAAGCAACCAAAAAGCTAGATTTGAATGCTGAAAAAAGGAGAGGCTTTGAACTTTCGTATTGAATTTTGTATTTACAGATATGCCTTCACACGTTAAAAACTTGCATTTCCTCGTGGCAATTTATGAGTGATATTTCTTGATATAACTTTATGAGGAAGATAATTCAGTTGAAGCTTCATTGGAAAACATAGAAAACGTAAATCTATACATAAATTACTGTGTATTCAGGGGAGCAAGAATTATTCATATTAATTAAGAAGATAAAACATTGTTTACACCCGTGCGCGCGCATGCGTGTTTTTTTTTTTTTTTTTGAATGAGAAAAAATAGAAGCAACTCATAAATTCTCAAAAAATTAAAGGAAATGTTTACTGACTGAAATTTCTAGAAATCTAACCTCCAAATTTCCAGAAATAGGGGATGCATGCAAGTGGCTGTGCAGCCACTTCTGAGTCCTCATATGTTGCAAACGGACAATAGTTCCATGTGGTATGGCATCACCTTGTTTGGAAGACGAATCTGGCAAAGGCCTAACAATCTGTGGATTTTGGTCAAAGAAATGCTTTAGTAAGTCAAAAAAGGAAAAATTAACCAATATATTGGTAAAAAACTGAATGATTTCAATATTCCCGAATCAGCTTTTTTGCCAATATATTGGTAAAAAACTGAATGATATCAGGAGGGTGGTATTTTCCAAACAGATAATAGTAGATCATCTACTAAAGAGTTTATTTGAACCAATTCACACATACAAATCCAGTGCCATCCATCCTGGACAGACCGAGTACATGAAACAAACCGACCAATCCAAAGGCAACTGGTATCAATTCTCAGCAAGTGGTCGCACAGCCTAAGGGCAGCAAGGCCTAAAGACCACCCACCTTAATAGCCACTCGGCCTAAAAGGGGGATGAAAGTCCCTTATGAGCAATCGGCGGCTTCAGACCAGACGTCCGTGTGCCCCTCGGGCCAAATTTATGTATAAGCTAAAATACCCCCCGTGGCTAAGCATAAACGCCATGTTAGTTGGGTCTTGCCCGAAATTTGAAGACATCCAACTGTGGTGTCAATATTGTCCGACTGAGTGTAAACAAAATACCGATGGACCATGGCGCCAAGATCGTCCGGTCCTGCCCAAAATTTGAAGACAACGCCAACTGTAGCCCCAAGTCTGTCTG